GGAATCTTGGCTTCTTAGCCAAAGGATCATTCTGTCACAATAATCAAGGGGCACCAGTCCTGAACACTTACTGGTTAGGGGGTTGAAATTTCTACAAAGGTGATGTGTGGCTGAAAATGCGAAGCGCCTATATCTAAAGCCTGCTCTTAACAGGAACCAGATCAAAGCAGCGTTACCAACAGGACTTAAGATTCTGGGGCCACAATGTGGTCACTCGGGCTCTCTTCCACCCACATCCGTTCAAACCAGGCTTCCTTTTGAAAAGAGCCTGCAGTACAATACACTGGGTAAACAGGAGGCAGGGTTTCCGACTGTATTTCACATGAGCAGTTTCTTCCTGTTTGAATTTTGTTTCCAAGCTAGCTATGTTCCTGGCAATCTTGGAAATGGCTCATTTTCACACTAGGAAAAGGGCCCATATTTGAGTGGAAAATTCACAGTAGATGAATTTCACCCCATGCAGAAAGGCCTAAGCATTGCTTGAATATTGTATATGGTGTAGAAAATTTCTTACTGGCCTCTACCGATAGGCATTTCCCACCTGGTATGGGCCCTAGTTTTTGACAAATGATACCTATGATCTCCTTTCCTAACAAAGTGCAGAAGGTACCCTTGTATATTCCAGGTGCCTTTCCACTTCACCCACCTAATTATAATGCCCAAGGTATAACCTAACCACTCAGACTGGTAGATATAAATTCAAACAGGCTGTACTAAAAGGTTATAAAGGAATTACTTTCTAACTGAGGCCACTTACAAAGAACACTGAAAGCTCAGAGCTGGTTAAAACAAAACTAGAAGGACAAGAAGAAAGGGGCTAATGATGCCTGTTTAATGAAGAACATATCATCCAATAGCATTAACTTTCACAGTGACTAATAATCTCTATCCTGTTAAGAGGTTTCTCAGGAAGTTTTGTTCCATTGATGCTTCCCAGGAGCAAGTCCAGCATCTGAAGAGGTAGGGGAGGACATAGGAACCATATCAATAGAAAGGAGATCTTGGGAGATGTTCTAAGGTAATTCTCTTCCTAAAAACCTGTGCTAATTTCCTTCCCAAATTATCTCAATTTCTTGTGCATTCAAATAGGAGCTGCATTCCCAAATTTTATATTATTTTCCCTTCTTCTGGCTCGTATGCCTTCAAACTGCTTAACTGGAAACTGATTTATTCTTCTTGTACTACATCCTTACTAGTTCAGCAGTGTTTAGTGACTTACTCCTTTTTGTAGCTAGATGGCATCACCAGAACTGTTCTGTAGTTCCACTAGGTGCCTGTAGGTGTTCGGGTTCATAAAAGAGGCCCTACAAAAAGGGTGGCTCAGATGACAGAGCATTGGGTTCTGTATGTGGCTGTGTCTAGTGCCTAATGGACCTCGAACAAATCACTGCCGTCTTCTGTACCTCAGTTTCCCCATCCGTAAAGTGGGTCTAATGACAATGACCTCCCTTTGTAAAACAGGTTGAGATCAATTGAGGAAGTGCTGTTTAAGTTAGGGGCTATCATCTTTAACTTTGGGGTTGGATCCTGCAAAAGCTAGAAGATTCCTTTATACAAAGGGCTGGCTCAAGACATATGTACCACTTAAAACCCTAATTTTTGCCTAACCACTGTTAAAAGGCACATAGGCTTCATACTGATGCTCTGCTAGTGACCTGCACAGACCTGAGTCTCTGGCAGCTTGGCCCATGGGTCTGCTAGGAGCGCAAGTGCAATACAATTCTAGGATTGGAGTGTTCATGGAAATGACCATAAGCCCCTGTCCATCAGCTCCCCCTGCACTCGCATAGTACCACTACCGCTGTAGTCCACGAGGCATCATGCTGGCAGGGAGCATAGTATTTGCAGAGCTGGGACCATAGAAAAGCAAGGTTCCAAGCTGAGAAGACAATTACCCCCGTGTTACCACAGATGTGTGCCCTCCTCCCCACCACACACACACACTTTTAGCAACCCCAGCTCCCTCCCGCATCTACTGATCTCACAGAGGACCCAATCCATGAAATTAATGGCAATCCAACTAGGAATCACTTACAGAATTTTGTGAGCAATTTTCCAAACCATTTCACCTTTGAGCTGAGATTAAACACAAGCAGGTTTCAGTCACAGGATGAAGCTTAATGAGGGAGACACAAGGGAATGAATAATAATGGGCACAGGGGCCTGATCCTCAGTGAAGCTCTAGTTCCTACTACCGAGCTGAGCATTCATTCAAATGCTGCTTAGGGGCCATAACTGAAGCCCTGCTCCCTATAAAAAGGGAATCTTAGGACATGGGACCAGAATGACGGCTCTGTGTTTGTATTAGGTGCCATGTCAGTCCCTCTGTCACAGTAACTCCTCTGAGATGGGGAGAGGGGGGAATCTAGCAGGAGCAGAGGAAGAAGAGGCGCTCTCATATCTCCTCCTGTATCCCACAGAGCAACGCTGAAATCTAATAACATTGCACCACCTAGTGGCTGCTTCCTCATTCCAGCAAGTTAGCTACAAATGTCCCTGAAGGGCTCCAGTAGCAAGCAAGAAGAGCTGCATTCTCTAAATATATCCTGATAGGCTGCAGCCCCTAACATGCACCTATCTTCCCTGGGAAAAGACTTGTCCTATCTCATGCACTGATGTAAAGTATCCCAAGGAACCATGGCTCTGCAAACAAGCACAGGTGACTTTTAATATGCACAATTTTACATGTGTTTTGGCTGCAGCAATTTCAAGCTAAGAGCAGCACCAAGCGGAGAGAGAGAATCTACGCATCATCTTCACCTTCCTTTTCCCAACATGGAAGAGCAGATGCATTCCCTCCCTCCCATTATCACAGAGCAGGCACCAGAACTGCAAAGAGAGGGCAAAACCCTCACCTGAATGCTGGTCTAGGAGCTGCAGAATATGAGAGACAATTACATCCTATGTCAGCAAGACAAAGACTTGACAGCAAAGGTAACAATGACAGACTTCAGGGTGAACAGCAAGTTAACTGGGCTTGACTCTGGGCTGGCTTGCCTTGAGCAGTCTGTAGTTAGCCAACTCACAGCTGCAATAGCTGCAGGTGGTATGCAGAGTCCAGGGCAAGAGCTGTTGCTTCACAGCCATGGAGCTAACAGACTGACTGCCTCAGAGCCATACTTAGATCAAATGACCAGGCTTCCAGTGGGCACTATCCCATGGCCCAGAAAGGAGCATATCCCAATGTCCCAAAACACAGACATGCCACTGAACAGACTACGAAGGGACAGCTATCAAGTAGCTGCCCTAGGGAGACCCTGCAAGATTTACAGAAAGATCCCTTACCAAAGCACCTCAAGCTATAAGTTGCTATATGTAATGGGCTACCTCCATCCCTGCAGCCAGAGTTTTAAATCAACAGGGGTTAAGAGCTGAGTATTATTTGAAAACCCCATTGGCCCTGTATCTACA